ATATGGTTTTCTACTTTGCAAATATTTGCAAGTTGATCAATAACGAAATTTCAAAAACGGGTTTCCTATCACATGATTGACCTGTACATTGAAGGAAACAAAACATTCAAGCAAAGCGTTTTCACTCACGTGGCCTGCAGCTATGGAAATATCAGAACAAAAGAACGTTTTTACATTAAAAAGGTTCAGCTCCCACAAGACTGGTTTTGGACCCGAACATCATTACATAAACGCGCCAATTGATAATTGTCGATTGTGAAAATGCAAACAAGTGAAAAATGACGTACACAGTTTCCTGTGTATATCCTTTTCCTGGTTATTGTTCTTGCTGGGACACCCGCAACATTTGGCTATTATTGGAAGAAGAATAGAACTTCACCCGACTAACAATTACTTCAGTGTACTTATTTAATAACTGCCTAAATGTAACCCAATTAGCATGTAACTATTTGCTTTTTAACGCTTTAGGGAAGATACGTTTTTTTTTTTTATTGGGGGGTGGGCCGGGGCTTCGAAGGGGAGGGCCCTTAGTAAATTTTCCACAGATTGGGGAGGGTCAAATCTGTTTTATTCTCAACCGGGGGAGGGTCACAGTTTTTTTGGCAAGGAAAAAATTACTCCATGTCGCTTCTATTTTGTATATACAAGCAAAGCTGCCAGTAAAGATTAATCTAAATTATTTACAGGTGTCGAAAAAGTTATATATCAAAAAACTAGCTTCTCCCAACTAACATAATTGTCTCTCTCGCCCTGTGTCTGCTTTCGCCCACATTTTGATGTTTCCGCGCGGGGTGCTGGTATAAAATCAGTCTCCGGTGAGGATTCTTTACTTAAGCTACTCGGGCTTGAACCGACAACTTCGGGAACCACCCTAGGTCTTCATCCTTCCACTTCTCTGGACTTGCTCTTTCACTTGTTCCCGCAGCCGATGTGCCACCAACAGAGTCAGAGGAGTAGCGGGCATCCTTTTTAGAATGGCGAGTCAGCAAACAGCCACAATAGCCACAAGTAGCTCCATCTGACCCCATGAAATCCTCGCATATAACACAAGCACATTTCCCTCTTTCTATTCCTGGTACATCCTTGCCCATCTTCAAGTTTTCACCATACAATCACACTCCACGCAATTAACTACTTTGTGCGCTGGTGAACGCGGTTATATGAGTAACACTTCCAGTTTGTTATTTTCACTTCCGGTTATCTTTGTCTTGAATGGGTAGGGGGGGAAGAGCCAGATGTTTTTGTTTGGGTCTTTCTGAAGGGTCGTGCATTAATCCATTCTAGGAAGTGGGAGGGTCACGACTTTTTTCGCAAAAAAATTCTAAAATACCCCGATCCAACCCCTCCCCCCCCAATAAAAAACGTATCTTCCCTTAAAATTGAAAAATCCTCGATGATTGTTGTTGATTTTGGCGTAGATGTTTCAACACGCTGATATGAAACGAATGTGTTGAGACACCAGCATAGTGAGTGTGACAAAAGATCATTTCCGACTGCCCTAAGAGCGTCTTTTTGTAAAGGATTTACACTTGTCCTCAATTTATCAAGGGCTTTAGAAGCCTTCATTTGCCTCTTAGCACTGTATCTCAGGGTCTGTACGGTACAACCCTCGAATGTTTTTTTTTTTGCATAATACTCTGATTCAGATTGTTTTCATTCTTGCGGTGGAATACACTAACCTTGCCGGAGAACGCCATAATCTAAGACTTATGGTAGCAAAAATATTGGATGAAAACACACCGATCTTATTCAGTTTCATTTGGTTTGGCAAATCTTGGCGAAATTTTCTGTGGGAGCGTGTCTATCGTTATCTGCGTTAAGAAAATGAAAGCGAAAATTTTTGTGTTGTGTACTCCATAAAGGGCGCTCGTGAAATTAGAAAGTTTCATATCGTTTATTGGTGCAACGACGGCAAACAAATGTACAAATTAGCTTGCACGTGCAAAGTTGTTATAATAAGTTTTTGTTTGTTAATATAAGCATATTATTTTTTGCCGTTCTCCTTGCCGTCGCCGTCGGTTTTGTTGTCATCCAGAAATAGTGCTACCATGGCAACGTGACGTCACACGTCTCCTCATATATAAATTAAAGGGCGCGATCCATTTAACCAAAATTTCCGGAAATTTCGGTCCAAAACTCAATGGATCAGTTCAGTCCAACCTGAAAAGTTTCAAAAAACGGGTCCACCTTTTGAGGTGGACCACTTTTCCAGGTCGGACCGGTCGGATTTTGGTTGAATGGATCGCGCCCAAAGCCTCTGTCAAAAAGCCAACATTATAACAACATTTGCTAAGAAAAAAAAAACTTTTCTCCAGCAGTGCTAGTGATTACTGCTAGTTTTTCCCATTAATACAACCAATTCGCCGCACAAACCTGGACGAGCGCTGTGTTCTGCGAGTCATAACCTAATTAATGCCTTTTTCCTAACAGAAAATAGTAAGCCCATGTTGAAAGCAGTTGCGATTGCTCTATGAATATGTTCAGGTCCAATTCTTTCTTTCGTTTAAATTTTCTTTTCTTTTCTTTCAAATTCATTATTATACAACACCATACCCCAAAACAAAAGAAATAAATAAAATTTAAACCAAAGACAATCTTGAACCACAAAAAATATACAATAATAATAATAATAATAATAATAATAATAATAATAATAATAAAAGGGTATGGAAGAAAACATCAAGAAAGTATCAGAAAGAGCTAATATGACAGAGATTCAAAAGATCTGCATGCTGGGATCTGCACGAATCCTCAGAAAGGTGCTCAGTGTATGAACAGAATGATTGACTTGAGTGACTGACGCTCTAGGTGCATGGTTTGCGCCCAGCTGATGCACAAAAAGAACACCAGCAAAGACTGTGATAATAGAGACGATAATAATAATAATAATAATAATAATAATAATAATAATAATAATAATAATTGTGATTGTGATTGACGCAATATTAACCCTGAACACTTTTCTAGGAGATAAGGAGAAAGGACATAAAGGGTATTAAGCATTTGGTTGGTTTCACGACATTTAACTAGAAATTTTCGTGAGATTTTTAAATTTAACAAGGAAAAAAAAAACAACGCGACTGTGTGCGGATTTTGATGAAGTTTATTTCTTTTCTTCATGCTATAACAGACTTGGAAATGTGGTATTGCTGCTCAGCAGTCATAAATGAGGATATTATCTATAGCAGCATCCCCTCGGAAATTCCTTCCTCTGACTCCTTCGAAGGTTAACTGCAAATAAATAAAGTATTGGAGAAAAGTACTGGTTTAGACCATTCAGAGTTTGATATTTCTAAAGTTTTTTTTAAATAATATATTTTCCTTGGAAAGCTGCGCAAAATTGGATGCGCGTGGGATATCATGCATGTAGAAAAATGGTCGTCACTTGTTTCCATCGGCCAAACTGACATTTTCCTCTCAGTGGCTCTCACAACAGGGGGCCAACACAATCTGTTTGTGTAGCCGATTGTTATTTTATAGTAAATGTACTGGATTTGCCGTTTACTCAAATTCATTCAAAATCGCTCAAAAAACCGCTTTTGAGGCAAAAGGACGACTATACACCACAGGCAAGGTAATTCAACCTTTATTTATCATTGATTTATATACATAGTTAGCGATATATCGCTATAGGTGAAGCAAACGGTAAATCCAGTACATTTACTATAAAATAACAATCGGCTACTCAAACAGATTGTGTGGGCCCCATGTGCTCTCACAAGACATTTCACTTTTCCTACGTGAACTTTCTTTCTCTGTCTCTAAGTCTCTTCAATTTTTAAGTGAAAAAAATTCAGGATGGCACGAGTAGGATTCGATCTCCGAGCATGAGCAACGGCTCTTCAGTGCATCACTTTAACCCCAACATCACAGAGGATTTGATGACAATGAATGGTTATAGCAACAACCCTACCCCTAACCCTAACCCTAACCCTAAGCCTAACCTAAACGTAACCCTAACCCTTACTTTGTGTACGAATCATTAATCTGTCAACGTTAGTTTGGCGTATGGAAGTAAGTGTTGACCTTGAAAAATCTGGTATTCATCCGTCCCCCAAATTTTTGTTTTTACGTGACCGCTCGAAAGCCGCAACATGAGACAATCAAAGTAAAACTGCAGCCTATTCAACATAAGCGACCACCACAAGTAGTGAAATAGCTCTTGGAAGAGGTCAGTCACAAGTTCGTAAGTTCACTTTCAAAGCGGCATTCCATACCGGGACCAATTTCGCCTTGGATTCAAATGAGAAATTTCAGTCCGGTTTACGAGTTGAGAAAGGGCCGAGGATACTGTGAAACTAGAAACTTGAGCCGAAAAAAACCGGATGCTCTCACAGGCTAACTGGGGACGAGTTCTGGCGCGAAATTCGAGAAACGAAGCAAATATGGCGGAAACACAAAACACTTCCGCGCCTATCGATCACTATAGTTTCGACAACTCTTATAGCTGAGCTGTATCGCTGGAGTTAAATGGCATCTTATGATGTGGAAAATACAGCATGTAAAGTAAGACGATACAGAATTCATTCGAAAAATTGATCCCGCTTTCATCGCGGTAACCGGGCTGAAGTGTTAATATGGCAACATTTTCCTGCCCGCTTACCGAGATCCTGGTTGGAAAAACCGAGATCTCTAGAACCCGAGCCAGTCGCCTCTCTCACATGAACACATCGGTAATATTACGGATAATTTTAGGGATTTAGAGGTAAGGCGAGATCTCGAAAATGGGCCAGCCCGGTCACCCTACCTCACGTAAAGAGGCCAGTTGACAGCTTTCACCGCAATTAAGGCCAGATTACCCTCCTCCCCCCATCACAAATAGCCACTTAAGATTAAAAAATGCTTTCTTTTTAAGTGGTTTTAACGAAACACGTCGCCAAAACCTTTCAATAAAATTCCTGGAATTCAAAGGAACTTGGTATGAAATAAGTTTAAATCTTGCTTATTTGTTTTGAGAAAAGATAACTGAAAAAAAAAATTGGGAATCTAGTTTTTGTTCTTACCTCCTTACAACCCGATCCTTGAAGTCGACGAATTGTTTGCATTTTCCACTGGTTTCCCTGATCTCCCGTTTTCTCAAAAATCACAGCACCGCTTAGTTTAACTCTCAAAGTGCCCATTCCGGATCCATACATGTGGTAGTAGAACCTCAGACAAGACTTCCCTGACAGAGTAACCATCCGGGAAATTTTGGCGTTGTCACCAGTTCTCCTTGGATATGATGTCTCGATGTAGGCATAATACTCTGCAGAAAATGTGCAAGATATGGACTAAGAGCACTTTTAAGCATTACAAATAAAAAGCGGTATAAATGAAATTATTTTAGTGCGGTTTGCTAATTTTTAAGGTTTTTTTTACTTCGAACAGAGAGAATTTGTGGCCTTTTGAGATCTCATTAAACCAAGAGAGGACAACCCTCTCTCCTTATATATAAAACTCATATAACACCATAACTCATAGAATTGATAGCCTTCTGGGCCATTCACCTCAAATTGACTCCTCCCAATGCTACTTTTATATTCTAGCGTTTTTCACCGTAGTTTCCAATAATTTTTGCATAAGGTCAAAATGGTTATTAAAGAGCTGCCAATAAAAGGTCCTATATTCACCTTTCGAACAGGAAAATTATACGAACGCTGGTTGAATGAAAACTATATAACCACCAATTTTATCTGATCGAGGAGTGCCGTACATGTTGTGCTGTACGAAACCAGTTAGTAATATAATGCCAAATCGGATCTAACATTGATCAGATCTCCTAAATTAACCACCAATATCAGTATTATTTGGCTTTCTCTTTCGTTCGAGTTATGGTACAGTCACATCGACCTTTTTAAAATCTAAAACATTTTGAAACTGTATACATCACTACTGCGAAATCTCGTCAAAAAAAGGAAAACAATATGAGGCAGATAGAAAAACTAGAGATTACAAATAAAACGGCTTCCTAGCTGGTAATTTATTAGAAATAAAATTGAAACGGCTGAATCTTTTCGGGGAATTGATATAATTTCATATAGTTCTTCGTCATATGTTATCATATAGTATCAGTACAAAAAGTATCTGTTTTCGCATTACTTCCTTCCTGTGCACCACTTGGTCCAGTCCTGTAGGACCGTGTTCTTCCTGTTTTTCTGGTCCAGTCAAATTTATCGTCCTTCGCTTGTTTGAAACCGCAGAAACTTGCTTCAAAATTGCATTTAAAAGCTGAAAAAAAGGGAAGCACGCAACAGTGGATAGTTTACGATATTATTCTAAACACGACTTGCATTTTACAGAGTAACGTTTTCAATACTTGTCCTATTCCTTTTTAGCTTCTCTTGTCTTTTTTTTTTTGCAAAAATGCTCAGAGACTCTCAATAAGTAAACTTTAATGACTGATTACATCAAAATGCCTTGTGACAAGATTGTTAAATGCCGTATCACGTTAAATAAAGAAATCATGCTGACACAGCGATCATTAATTTATACTCAAATATATACTGCAAAGCCTTAGAAACTTAAAAAAACTCAAATGTTCGAAATAAGTATTGTAAAAGCTTTAAAATCAGGTAAAAAAGCAGCAGTTGTACTATTTCTATTCCTTATCATTCGAAGCAAGTCGGTTTCGTAGATCTTCTCTCCTGGTCCCCATCCATCTCAAACGAGCTTGCTCCATTTAAGCACGCCCATTATGTTCATCTAATCCTCATTAACATTGTCCACTTCAATTTTGTTTTTGATCTCCTAAACTAGTCGTAGTTACAGCAAATGTCAATTAATACTGGGATTCGTTTCACGCCTAGACTTTGATAGATTGTGCTAGAAAAATTAGCATAATATGCTACCAGCAGTGCACGTATATATTATGTTCCTAAAAATATGCTAATAACTAGTTATTCAAGTTTTTGTAAATTATTCTCATTTTGACAAAATATGCCGAAGTAGACCTCTACTTTCAAATTTGTTAAAAATACCCCAATAGCCAGTGAATAACTATGCAAAAAACATGTAAATGGTACACACATTTAACCTATTTACATCTAGAAATTCATTCTCTGAAAATAATCTGTAAAATTCGAACAAAAACCAGCACACGGACGCCCGTCTTGGGTAATCGAGCTATTTCAGTAATGCGCTTGCGTTGACTCCTGTGGAAAGGTCGTAGATCACTTCCTGTCAGACCCAGGTCCCGTGAATGCGACAATAAACAGACAAAATATTGATTTTGTTACTTAAATTTGCCCGTACTCTTATTTCGGGTCGACACAAATTGGTTGCATACCAGTCAATAATGACAATTTGATGCTGCAAAACCGTGCCAAAGGTGCAAATTATGTCAGCAGCGCTTTTTTCGGGAAATGCGTGAAAATTATGCCAGTGCCAGAAATTATCCTAGCGCAATCTATCAATGCCTTTTCCCGACAAAGACTTTGCCCCTTTCAACTTTCACTTTTCGTTAGTGCCTATTATTTTCGACGGAATCAGTTATTAGAGAGTTTAAGCTTCATGTATACGGCAAAAGGCAAACGTCAGATTCAAGGTGAGAATTTCTCAAAATGGAAAATGAGCAGATAAAAAACATCTCAAAACAATTCTTATGGATAAAAAATTGCTTGAGACTACTAATTAATGTATATAACTAATTAACAGTAAACGACAAGTTAAGTGGAAACTTGGTCACGTGGTACAAATTCGCGTTTACTGTTTGCCGTAAACGTGATGCTTCAGCTCTCTATTTCGTTATTGCCTCTTAGTTTCGTCCTTGATTGTTTATGTGCACCGTACAACGTGAAGACGATTAGGCATTTTCACGTCGTAGTCGTGCAGTGTCGTTTTGATGTTCTCGTTACCGACGCCGTCGTAGGATTTTAAGGTCCCTAGTCTCGAGTCTTGAAACGCCTCAGTTTGTTTGTTTACATTTCCGATAAACCACTCATCCGAGACCAAACATGATAGTGGTGTTAGCAAAATGCATAGTAAGGAAGGTAGGGTACAGTTTGTACTTACGTGATGTTCCAATGCACTTGTAGAGCAACATCATTTGGCGACTGTCAATGGGACTGAGAGCTATCCTGTTTCCAATGGTAACCTAGTAATATTTGATAACAATATCTGTCAGTGATTTGCAAACAAAAAAACAAAAATCACACACGGTAAACCATCCGTTATTGAATACTAACCCCTGGCTTCTTGGGAACAATTGTAGGCTTGCCATTCTTAGAGAAATACCTCGCTCCATAGTGCATGATGGATCCATAATCATATGGTGTCCCCAAAGAATTTATTCTGCTTGATTTCCTGAAGTTTCTTTCTTTTCCTATCAATAAGTAAGGTATGACCGAAAAGCTTTGTTATTCTGGTTTGAGCATCCCGTTTAGAAAGTTAGCAATTGGTTGTTGGCCCAGCGTGTGTATATATTGAGTTCTGGAACATTGGGAAAAAGGCAGTTGTATTAAAATTCAACTTGCAAACAGTTCAATGAAGGCATTGAATTCTTTCGAACCTTTGGTGATCTCAATTGTGATACGAACTGCCAGGAAAAGAACTTTTCCAAATGCTATCCCGAGAACATAATTTGTGAGTAAAAATCGGCTATCAGAACACTCACTGTAACTTAACCTCATAACCAGATAACTGACGTGGACGTGGACATGTGACCGTTCAGTTATCCAATAGACCTTATTCACGATACCCGCCATCTTTGCACGCGCTTTAGGATCGATGGGATAAAAGTAATATCACGCAGTATGTCAATGGGCAGGCAAGTAATAAAATTTGCCTATACGAGTAATCGCGATCGAATTTGTATATTTTATCAAACCAAGACTACGATCGGTTAAAACCCATTGGCCCCCTAACATTTTGCCGAAAAACGCGTTTTGAAGCTTTTCGCCGGGCGGTTTTCTGGTGACTGTCGTGTTTAAAGACCTAAAACTTACCATAAATGATCCCTTTCAGCCTTAATTTGCCATTATCGTCTTTAACCCTATTCAGACCGGGCCTTTTTTTATGCATCCTGGGCCCTGGGGGGCGGGGGGTCTCGGGAGCCCCCTCTATCCCCCGCTCATCTTAGGGCCACAAAAATTACACACAATAATGTAATCATCATTTCCAACTTCTGTGCATAACCTGATTGACACGATGACAGAATCTGACGTCATTCTGACGTCATATTGTTGAATTTATTGTCAGAATTCAAATTTCCCTCAAAGTAGTTACAAAGGATAAATTACTTAGATAGTATGGTCTCTGAATAAATCAAGGAAGTTGTCTAACACATAAATGATCTTTAACAATAGCAGTGATATCATGATGACGTCATTTATTACTAAAAAGGAACTCGAAGTATCCGCCATCTTGAATCCGCCTGATTTTGAAGATTCTAAATTTACTCCATTTTACTTAAAACTCTGATAAATCGAGGTATTTGTAACAGAAAACTTAATCTGAGTATGAAAGGATGCTTGGGAAACAACACAAAGCAAAATAAAAAATCCCGAGAGAAATGAACACTGTTGAAAATTAAAGTCAGCTTCTGCCGTTTGGTCATATTAAATTCATGTTTTTTCTTGAACTAGTCACTAAAAAACCCGTATTTCATTAACAGTTACAATAGCTTTGATAAAATAATACTAAATTAAATATAATAATCCAATCAGTGAAAATAGCAAAAAAACCTATTTTTAGAAAAAATGCAAATTTCATTGAAAAACATAGCTGTCAAAACTCGGTTGCCATGGTAACATCAATATTGACATAAACGTCACGACGACTTTTAAATGTTCCCAGATAAATTTTAGGTAGTCGCTAAGATGGGTGGTCTTAGCTTGAACGGTTTGGAAGTTATTCAACTTTTTAGCGAGAGCTCCCCGGTCTCAAGATAAAACGTTCTTCATTTTCTGTTGTCTAAGAGAAACAAACTCGACCACTTTTTCCTGCATTGACTAATATTTGACTTGATTGCCCTCTGAAAAACCACGTGACATCATTTTCCCATCAGTCCTTTTAAAAGCGCGTG